CTGGCACACAGCCGTTCTCACTCCATGGGTCGAGAGTTTGCATTTACAGTTGTTGTGGTTAAGTGCCATTGAGTTCCAACACATAGTGAACTTGTATAAGGTTTCCGAGGAGCAGCTGGTGAGCTTGAACAATCGATCTTTCAGTTTAAACCATCTTTGCAGTCCAGCATATTAATCCACAACACCACACCAAGACTCATATGGAATATACAGGAATAAATCTTAACTAGAGTAACAAGAAATATACAAAGAAAGAAAACAGTACTGTAAGAAACCAAGAATTTCAACCAGGAATCTGATACCCAGCAAAACTGCCCCTCAAATAAGGTGGATAAATTAGGATATTTCCTGATACACAGAAATTAAAGGACTTTGTAATCACTGGACCAACTTTACAAAAAATGCTAAAAGTTGTTCTTTGGAATATGCACCAAAAACTGCAGGCAACAACCAGAGATTATCATACGTGACACCAGCACACAGTCCCTCTCCTTCCTTGAGTCTAGAATTCCCAGCCTCTCTGTCTCTCCACGTCTTTGTCTATGTTTCTATGTCTGCCATCACTACTTCCCTGGATAGGGTCCTGCATTCCGCTCTTCTTCCTTGATAGCCCCAGGGTCCTCCGCTCCTGTACTGCAAGATCAACCACTCCCCTCCTTTAGTTGCAAAGTGTCTACCTTTACATTTGCAGCATTCACAATCAGTCCTGATAGCAATTATTCACTACTGCACCAAAAGAGCCTTATCCCCATCTCCTTTCACCAGTCCCATCTATACAAATTGGAAACCACTCACTGGAGATTCTACCTTCCCCCGCACCCTCTTAAACTAAGCTCCCTCTTGAAAGAAACTTATAAGCCAGTCACTTCGTGCCTTTTGGGTAGCCAATGTCTAAGTTGCCCATCCTTGTCAACTCTGTGTACAGAGGGGTGGGAATGATTCTTGTAAAGATTCATTCCCTCTTTTAAGCTACTACATCCATAAATATATGTATATAGGTCAAGTTCATCAAGTTGTAGTGGATTACACTTTTTTCCCTCTTCTTTCTTCCTCTAGTTGAGTTCTGATCATCCAGACATTGTTGTTGTTAGGTGCCATCAAATTGGTACCGACTCATAGCAACCTTGTATGCACAGGTGAACAAAACACTGCCTGATCCTGGGCCAAGTGTTGCCATGCGTGAGCCTATTGATGCTGCCACTTTGCCAGTCCATCTCTCTGGGGGTCTTCCTCTTTTTCTCTGACCCTCCACCTTACCAAACATGATATCCTTCTCCAGCTACTGTTCCCTCCTGACAATGTGTCCAAAGTATGAGAGACCAAGTTTGGCCATCCTGGCCTCCAAGGAGCACTCTGGCTGTACTTCTTCCAACATAGATCTGTTTGTTCTTTTTGGCAGCCCATGGCACGTTCAATATTCTCTTCCAACACTATAACTCAAAAGCATCAATTCTTCTATGGTCTTCCTTATTCACTGTTCAATTTTTGCATGCATATGAGGTTATTGAAAATACTATGGATTTGGTCAGGTATATTTTAGTCTTCAATCTGACATCTTTGCTCTTCAACACTTTTAAAAGGTCTGGTACAGTAGATTTGCTTAATGCACTACGTCGTTTGATTTCTTGACTGCTGCTTCCCTGAGTGTTGATAGTTGATCTAAGAAGAATGAAGTCCTTGACCATTTCAATCTTTTCTCCATTGATAAGAATGTTGTTTATTGCTTCAGTGGTGAGGATGTTTGTTTTCTTTACATTGAGATGTAATCCATACCAAAGACTGCTCTTTGATCTTCATCAGTAAATATTTCATCAGTAAACATTGAAGCTAGGTCAAATGGGTTCTGTCTGCAAGTATGGGTGTTCTTGTGCATCTCCACTCACTTCATATCAGCTGGACGTTTCACTCTCCACTCTAGTCCTCTATGACTATGTACCTGTCCATGGGCTTAGGAGTCCCCAGGTCTCGCTACACTGCTGGCCAACCAGGTCACTATCCAGGTTCACAGGAGTCTATTGAACGTGATCAGACTTAGCTCACAGCTTCATTGCTCATTTTCTCCCACTTCCCCTTATCTGCAGACCAATGTAGTCACCAGCAAGATTACTTGCCTGCTTTTTTTATTCCCTTTGAATTTCAGTCTTGGAAGAAGGTTTGCCCTGAGGGGACTTGATTGCTTGCTTTAGTTGCTCCCCAGTGAGGAACTTACTTGTTCTAGTAGTAGTCAATCAGACTGCCATTGTTTTTTTATTTTTCCTGCTGGTCTTTCTTTCAGGAAGTATCTTCTGTTCCTCTAGCATCTTATCTGTTGTATCTTCTGTTCCTCTAGCATCTTATCTGTTGCTGTTAAGTGCCATCTAGTGAATTCCAACCCATAGCGACCCTGTATCGGGTTTCCAAGGATCAACTGGTGAGCTTAAACCACCGACCTTGCAGTTCAAATAGCTCTGCCGTCTGGCGCATTAACCCACAGTGCCACACCACTATTAACTAGGTATAACTAGGTGACCTCATATGTTTCAGAATAAATTATGCCCTACATTGTTTTTAATGGCTGATTCTGCCTTCCAAGGAGCCTCTGCACTTAAACCACTAACTTTTCAATTAGCAGCTGAGCATGTTTATGCTTTGGACCACCCAGGAACTCTGAAGTACACCCTAATCTTTAAGAAGTCACATGGCCAGGTAACAGAATATAGAGACCAGAAGATGATGCCACAGATTTTTAAATGATAGACTTTTTTTTTCTTTTCTCTGTTTATCATGTTGTTCATTGGTACAGTTGTATGGATTTTTGCTTTCTTTACATTTCATGCAGTCCATACTAAAAGCTTTAGTCTTTGTTCTTCATCAACACGTACTTCAAGTTCTCTTTGCCTCTAGTTCAAAAGGTTGTGTCATCAGCATATCACAGATTGTTAATGAGGCTTCTTCCAATCCTGATATCACATTCTTCTTCATGTAGTTCAGCTTCTTAGATATTTGCTCAGCATACAGACCGAATAACTCTGGTAAAAGGATATAATTCTGATGCATACCTTTCTTGATTTTAAACCATTTAGTATCCCCTTGTTCTGTGACAACAACTACCTCTTGGTCTCTGTACAGTTCTGCAGTAGCACAATTAAGTGTTCTGGAATTCCTATTCTTTACAATGTTATGTGTACTTGTGTACATGGATATTTATAGTAATGGAACCAGTCAGTGTTGAATGGTGCCCCCTCAACAGAATCTCAGAATTCAACCTTACTTGAAGTGAAAGACTTTGCCCATATGATTCAGGTAAGGATTGTGATAAGATCATTGTGATAAGATCATCCTTTGTTAGTTGTTGCTAGTTGCCATCAAGTTGGCTCTCATGATGACCTTGTGTATAACAGAGATCTGACACAGAGATTAAAGCACCCAACTGCTAATCAAAAGGCCAGTGATTCAATCCCATATGGCAGTTTGCTTCCATAAACATTTACAGCCTTGCAAAGTTATAGTTGCAGTCTGCCCTTTTCCATCACTTTGAGTCATAATCAATGTGACAGTAATGAGTTTGGGGATTTGTGGTGCACCACCATCACCATCATGGTATGTTTGAGTCCATCATTGTAGCTGTTGTACTGTGCCTTGTAACCCAGAGTGCTCATCTTCCAGCAAACTCAGATTGTACTTTACCAGAATTCATATGGTTTTGTTTTATATGGTAGTTTGGCTGAAAGTTCAGGGAGAAAATTCATTTTCCATTCAAATAGATACTTTTCTTTTTTTTTTTTTAAGGTTTTTATTGTGGATTGAGTGAAAGTTTACAGAGCAGATCAGCAGATCATAGATCATCAGTTTTACATTCAACAAATCATATACCTTGTTTCATTACAATGATTATAATCCCCTCCATGTGTTTAGCTCTTTTTGTTTTTTTAACAGGCATATGTAGTAATTTCCTGGCCACCAGCTCTTAGTCCCTGTCTTCCCATTAAATGATAGATTTTTAAAACACTATAGATCTATGTTCCCTGTATGAGGAAAAAGGAAAGCCAAAATGAGGTCACTCTGTGTCTTAGTCAACCCTAGTTTCTATTGGTGTATATCTAACTTGTATGGATGGTGTATGCCTTTAATTTTAACATATAATTTTTTTTGAACCATCCTCATATTTCCTATTGTAGAACATAATTTAGAAATTAAAAAACAATTTTATCTTAGAACAGTAGATCGCAAATTATATTTAAGACTCAATTTCTAACTTCAAATGAAGTGACTTACAAATTTTGTTGTTGTGTTTTTTTGAAGAGGTATCAGAAGATGATCTGTTGAGTCAGTATTCTCTTACACGTACAAAGAAGACCAGGAAATCACTGAACTCTTCTGAAATGTTTGTGCCTAACATGGAAGATGGAACCGCTAGTACAAAGAGTTTAAGCACACCACCTAGGACAAGAAATAAATTTGCAACATTTTTACAGAGAAAAAATGAAGAAAGTGGTACAGTTGTAGTTCCAGGAACCAAAAGCAGGTATAGTAATATCTACAGAATGTTTTTCTGTTGGATTACTCCCAATATTTAATTGTCTTGAATTACCAGTGTATCTAGTGGTACGGTGTAGGTTCTATTATAATCTGATTGCAAATTTATCATATATTACCTTAGTTCAGACTTACATGCACTGTTGCCTTCAAGAACTTAATTACTTTCATAATCTTACCACTTGGAACACATATGACAGGATTATTAACCCTATCATTAACATTTTTTCATTAGAGAAAGTTTGCTATTTTGGGAATTTTTACCACTCCACTTTTGTTTTTGCATTCTTAGTAGTTTAAACTTTATATTTTGAATTGAGTGAAGGTTAACAATAAAGATCATCATCTTTACTTTCAACCAGTCATACATTTTCTTTGATTCTTTCTGTAGGTCATTTCTGACTTCTTCCTTATTTTCCTCGACCTTTCTGTAGAACATTTGGATGTACTTCAATATCATTCTGCTGAATCGTTTTTCAGGTGCTTCCAG